CGCCGCGCCGTCGACGGCAAGGAGGTGCGCAGCGTGGTCACCCGCCAGGGCGCTGTGCTCACCGAGCGGGCCGTGCAGAACGGCCGTACCACCGAGATCATCCGCGAGTTCGCCGACGACCAGCTCCGCATCACCATGCGGATCAGCGACACAGAGTGCACGCAGACGTTCAAGAGGACAGCCTGAGGCGGAGCGGGGGCGCCGACGAGCGGAGCGGAGGGCGCCGACGAGCGGAGCGGAGGGCGCCGACGAGCGGAGCGGAGGGCGCCAACGAGCGGAGCGGAGGGCGCCGACGAGCGGAGCGGAGGGCGCCGACGAGCGGAGCGGAGGGTGCCGACGAGCGGAGCGGAGGGCGCCGACGAGCGGAGCGGAGGGCGCCGACGAGCGGAGCGGAGGGTGCCGACGAGCGGAGCGGAGGGCGCCGACGAGCGGAGCGGAGGGCGCCGACGAGCGGAGCGGAGGGTGCCGACGAGGCGGCAGCGCACAGGATGTGTTGCGCGGAAGGGCACGACGCCAGCTCGCGCGAACGTCAGCCGGCAACGACGGCGGCGAGATCAGAGGCGACCACCAGAGCGCGCCGCCCCCCGGAGGTGCCCGGAAAGCGCGCCAGGCGCGCCCCTGGTGGCTGCCTAATGCATGAAGTGGCCTCCCGCTGTGCCCCTGGTGCCTTCCTGATGTAACTGAATGGCGTGAACGCGGCAATGGACTGATGTCCAGGAGAAACGGATGACATGTGATATGCGTGATGGTGACGTGGTCGTAAATGAATTCGGTGAAATATATCACGATTTAAGAGATCGGCGTGTGCCGTTTGTGGCTCGTACCGTCATGTAAACTGCATCCTATGCACCACTGCAATAACCTACCTTACTATCACCGAATATCCTACTAACCATTACTATCTTACTAACCTACCAGCCCACTATCGCAACGAAACAATCACTATCGCTAACGGGAGAAAATACACGTATCGAGACAGATGGCAGCAGCGACATCAGCGAGAGCGAAGCATGGCAATGGGCGAGACCAACCACGCACCGAGGCGGAGGGGCGAGACAAAGACGCGCAAGTGCAAAAAACGTCCCGTCCACCATTCTTCACATCGAGGCCGAGTCCCGTCCGTAGCACGCCGCGAGCACGTCCGTTCGCCGCCTGCCACGCTGAAGGTCACCGATGCATGGCGGCCGGGAAGTCAAGGTCAGCTGACTGAACACCGCTCTGACCCCTCCCCCGAAGCCAATGTGGGTGAGGGCCGCGCAGAGACGCGCCATGGGTGCCGCCCTGCAACCCGCACCCACCAGACGCCGCCATGGGTGCCGCCCTGCACCCGCACCCGCCAGACTGCGCACCCTTCGGGGGATTTCTGCCAAATGACCGACTTTGGTGTGGTCACACACCGCGCACCAGTCGTGGAATGGCCCCTTGAACAACATAAATGCACACTTAAGCCAGAAGTGACGTATAACTGCTATGCTATTTACCAGTCCTACACAAAGTCTCCAGCGTACCACACCGACTAAAAGTTCCATGACCGAGGATCGAACCCACAATCGTCGTCCACGACTCTGTCCCGCCGAATCCATCACCGCGTGCCGTATCCGCGGTTCGGCGGTCTAGGATGAACTCGCGGCCCGCTCTAGACAAGACTGGACTAGACTGGACAACTGGACAAGGGTGTGATTAGGTGTCAGCAGGGGGTCGACCCGGCGCGAGGCGGCCGTCTCACAGCGCTGTACACGGACACTGACTCAGACACTGGCAACGGAGACACTACTGATTCGGACACAGACACTGGCTCAGAGAAAACGCCGATCCCCACAATCCTGTCTCGCTGGACACGGGTCGTGGCAAAATTATCCCACAAACCGGAGCCGTACAACCTGGACGATGGGTTTTGGGAACACGTGACAGGCTCCTCGTAGCTTAAGCCGAGTCAACCGAGGAGCAAGCAGCTCCACGAAGGGCGCGCGGCCACCCCCCAGCGTACGCACCTTGGCCGAGGCGGGCGGCGGCGCCCGCGGTGGACCGAGAGCTCCTCAGGGCCGAGGTCAGCTCCACTGCAGCGGCACGCAGGTCAGGTCAGGACCGACAGAGGAGCCGGCGTGGTGTCCCGACACACGGACGCGACGGCCGGTGGGAGCGACACTGGTTCAGAACACTACTGATTCAGACACAGACACAGACACTGACACTGACTCGGAAACATTACTGATTCAGACACAGACACAGACACTCAATCAGAAACATTACTGATTCAGACACAGACACTGACTCGGAAACATTACTGATTCAGACACAGACACAGACCCTAACTCGGAAACATTACTGATTCAGACACAGACACAGACACTGACCTCGGAAACATTACTGATTCAACACAGGCAATGGCTCAGAAGCACTGCTGATTTAGACACAGACACTGGCTCAGAAACACTACTGATTCAGGACACAGACAATGACTCGGAAACATTACTGATTCAGACACAGACAATGGCCCAGACGCACTGCTGATTCAGACACAGACACTGGCTCAGAAACACTACTGATTCAGACACAGACAGAGACTCGGAAAATTACTGATTCAGACACAGACAATGGCTCAGAAACACCAATGATCCAGACACAGACACTGGCTCGGAAACACTACTGATTCAGACACAGACACTTGCTCAGAAACATTACTGATTCAGACAAAGACACTGGCTCGGAAACATTCCATACAGGATTCAGACACAGACAATCGCTCAGAAACACTGCTGATTCAGACACAGACACTGGCTCGGAAACACTACTGATTCAGGCACAGACCCTGGCTCGGAACCACTACTGATTCAGACACAGACACTGCCTCGGAGAACTCAAATTAAGAGACAGATAGATTCGGAGACAGACATCGATTCAGACAGTACTAGCTTTGACAGACACTGACTCAGAGACGCGGCCA